AGGATTATAGGCGTGAGCCACCGCGCCTGGCCCAGAAGGAAATTTTTAACCTTGACAAGAGGCTCCTAAGTGGCCAGTGGCCCTTTTTATAAATATGTTAGATTATGTCAACAGTCCAGTGTCCTCTCGTGTCATTCAGAGTAAAACCCTTGTCCCTACAGTGACCTCCAGGACTTCGAGTGATCTGCCCCTACCCTACTTCCAGACTCTCAACTCCCACCACTTTTCTCCTGGTCACTCCACTGCGGTCACAGTCCTCGTTCTGTTTCTTGAACAAGCCAGGCATTCTTCTGCCTCGGCATATGCACTTGCTGCCTGGACTGCTTTTACCCCAGATGTTGGCATGGTTTGTTCCTTCCCTTCCTTCAGGTCTCTGTTTAAATACCAGTTAATAAAGTAGGCCTTCCCTGACCACTCTATGTTAAAACAATAGCAACCACAGAAGTTTGCTCTCTGTATCACCTCTGAGGGTTTCTGTCTCTCTCACCCTGCTTAATTTTACTTGACAGATGTCATCATCGTATATATGATATTTTAAATTATTTATTTACGGTCTATGTTTCCTGACAAGAAGGTAAACTCACTGAAGCCAGGGATGTTATTTTTCGCACTACTGTATCCTCAATGCCTAGGCTGTTGCTTGGCACATAGTAGCTGCTCAGTAAATTCTTGTTGCATTGAATGAATGAACAATACAACTATATCCAGGATCAAAGTATGTATGTGGTCATTCTTCTTATTCCCTACTGCAAATATCAGTGTTGGTTCAGTCTTTAGCATTGCTTTTGTAGCATTCCCTCCCTATTGTGTTCATATCTTTAGCCCCAATAAAACACATAGCAGGTAATGATCTGAACGTGTATGACTTTGCTATCTAAAGTGATATTATGCCTTTAACAACAATTCCATACATTTGAAAATTAAACATACTCTGTCTCCTGCCGGATAGTGATGGAGTAGTTTCTACTGTCACTACCAGGCCTCAGGATCATGTTTCCCAGGGAAGGGTTCTTCTCAAGCATCTCAGTTGCTTCTTTCCGGGACACTGTATAAAAACATCTACAGAGGTTTGATATAAAAAACAAAAATGTTTTTTTCAACTGATGAAAATCATTACTTGAAAGAATGCTACCAAAGCTGAGAGCTGCAATTGTTAACATTTCTTAAAATGTCCAGCTTTATTATTACAATATAATTAGATAATTATTAATATAATGAACTATATTTACAAGCCTGTGCCACTATGTGTATGCTAATGCTTAAGGTCCTTCTTCCCTCATTCCTCTAAAGCCTCTTCAAACAAAAGTTATCTACTGATGAGTATATAATCACCAATACCATTTGAAAATATAAGAAAAAAATTAACAATGTATACCCAGTCTCAGTTTATAAATAAAATCCCGGATAAAAATTTGTTGGTGATTTCCTTTCAGGAATACAAAACAAATCTAAATGCTTCTCTTGTATGGTCTCTGTTTTAAAAAACTGATATTTAAGGACATGTCTGAACTCACTTCTTTTGGTATAATACGTCCTTCTATGGCATTGGGGGTATTTTTGTGCATAAAATTAAATAAAGCACTTCTTAATTTTATAATATACAGATAAACCTTGACTTATGATGGCATTACGTCCCAATAAACCCATAAGAAATTGAAAATATCGTAAGTCAAAAATGCATTTAATACAACTAACCTACTGAACATCATAGCTTAGCCTAGCCTACCTTATAAATGCTAAGAACACTTACAGTTAGGCAAAATCATCTAATACAAAGCCTATTTTATAATAAAGTGTTTAATATCTCATGCAATTTATTGAATACTGAAAGTGAAAAACACCTCAAATGGGTACTCAAAGTATGGTTTCTACTGAATGTGTATCACTTCTGCATCAGAAGTGCAGAGTCGAAAAATCGTAAGTTGAACCATTGTAAGTCGGTGACCATCTGTATATTATAGTCAAGAAAATCTATAGTCATAGTTACAGAAAAAAAATTGCAGGATATGCAAATACACCAAAATATTAACAGCAAATATCTCTAAGTGATGGGATAAAGAATTATTTTAATCTTTTTATGTATCTGTAATAAACATATATTACTCGTTTTATTGAGGGAAAAAAGGAGTGTGTGTGACTTAACCTATCAGTCCATCAGTTGTCACTGGTTTCAGCTAAAAGTGATAGTTGGCAGTTTTCAGCGATTCTAGTACAGATAGAATATGCATCAAAATCTGATGTCAAACATGGT